AACAATAGAGTCAGTTGTGAGTGTTCAGACCTGTGGTCTGTCACTGAATTCTGATGAAGTTATCCTTGTTGGAATAAACTGCTGTTGAGTGCAGCAGAAGATAAAAGTGCAAAGTCCTTCAAAAGAAAACACTTGGTAGATTTGACCCAGCAAGAGACAAAAGAGATACGGACCTAGACCTGGGATTAGATAATAGGACAGAAGATTGAAATGGACTTAATACTACAATATCAGACAGGCTTTGGTTGGAAGTGGAGACTTAGGCAGAAATGGAGTCAATATCATTATAATAACAATTCTTGCACTTGATGCAGTGCTGTATCACGTCTTCAAGACATCTCAAAGCGCTTTACAGAATATGCTGCAATATATATTTTGTGGGCGAAACGCGGCAGCCAATTGTGCACAGCAGTGTCCCACAAACAGTCGTGGATTGAGTGACCAAATTAATAATATTTTTTTTTGGAAGGGATTATTAACCCCTGCCAATCAACTAACAACTGGGTTCCTGCTTACTGCTAGGTAAACAGAGGTGTGTGGAGTAAGGAAACTTGCCTGATTTGTCGCCCTGCCAGGATGCAAGTGGTCTAACCGCTAAGCTACGGTTTTTCTCTCAGTGCCCCGGCCAACAATTCCCCCAAATAAACTTGATCATGGCTGTTTTGGGGACATAGCTGTGGGCATATTGGCTGCCGTGTTTGCCTATGAACACACAGTCACTGCATTTCACAATAAAGATTTTTGAGACGTCTCATCGACATGATAAGGCTCCGTATAAAATGCAAAGGATTGTTATCGTTAGGATTATTAAGTTGTGTCATGGAATGTTTAATGTTCTTCAGGCGTGTGACCTCAGTTTAATATCTCATCCGAAGTATGGCATCTTTTTTAACAAAGAACATTCTTCATTTAAGACATTTTGTACTGTACCTTAGATATGTTAACCTTTAAGACCTAAACTATGTAGGGTATTGCAAGTCAGAAGGATTTTCAATATCTTTCTTAAAATAGACGGAATATCCATTTTATTATCCTTATGAAAATCTTTAAGCAGCTGTTATTGTATATTTAGGGCACGGTGTTGCTCACTGTTCTTCTTTCTGTATTTTTTTCGCTCCTTCCCTCACTGCAAACTGGCACTTAATGACTTTCCATGTCACCGCATTTTTGATCCCATTAGATGTAAAATCTGATTGAAAATATTACGAAGCACGGGATCCAAAATGGCACATTTTGCCTCAAATTTATTGCAAGATTAATTGAATCAAACAGCAACATTAAACACTGTAGTCTCCATGGAAACCGCAGTCCCTGTCCATTAAACACAAGAAATGAAGAATTTATCAAGCATGAAGGCAAAAATGAGGGAAATCTTTCATACTTCAATATACAAATCTCCGACTGGAGAAAAATGTTGCTCTCGCTAATTGCGCCAGTTATGAAGCAAACCGCCTGGTTCGGTATCGTAAGAGGAATCGAATTTTGTCTCGCTGACTGCTTGAATAGCAGAATGTACAAGGCCACCGCGACAATTTACATGCATACAGCGCCTTTCGCGTCGAAAGGTCGTCACGAAGCACTTCGCACCGCGCACGTGAGCTTGGGGGTGGGGAAGGTGGCTGAAAGTGCGGTCAGTATCTTGGTCTTTAAGGGGGCTTTACAGCTGGAGAGGGAGGGGACAAGGTAGGGGGAGTTCCAGAGACCGGGGGCAGAACGACGAAATGCTCGTGTCGGTGACCATCGATTAGCGATAGAAAACTGTATTTCAGCGCTCGAAGTGTTTCCAGTATAGCGTAGGGCACAACACACCCAAGCACTATAAACAGACCCATGCTTTTGACCACGTCTTCAACCATCTACCAACTACTCCCCCCGTGATCTGCCGCTCCACCTTTGTAAAGGGCTTTGACACATCCCCCTACTCGAAACCCTCTGCATAAGTGCAACGTGTCGTTCTGCTGTCTTTGGAAATGATGGCGTTGCGTTGGGATACGTAAAGCTCATTGCTTTAACACTTTTGCTCTGCAACTCTTTCGTTCACCGAGCCTTAAAAGCGTAGGCATTTTTGCCATCGGTAAGAACCGCATTTGTCAATCTGGAGAGTTCCATCACCTGAAGCATTACGGTTCAACTCCTTTATGATTGTGCGGATTGAGCAAAGCGGGCCTCGGTTCAGCTGATTAGCTTTGAACTGATTTGAAACAAACCGAGTTCAGTGAGTCGGTTGCAATTTGGCACATTAATCACTTCCTCTGAAAAATCGATGGCTTGATGTGGCATTGCCGCAGCTCTTTATTTCCATCAAGACGCTTATTTGAATTTGCCCCTGTTTTTGAGGCACTGTTTCTCCCCGCCTGCTCTGACGAGTCAGCAACCACCCGCGTTATTCCCTGATGTTGACAGCAGGCAGACACCCAGCTTGTTCCTTGCCCTTTTTTCCTAATGCAGCTCCTGAACTTGCACTGCGAAATTTCCGTTGGGGGAAAACTGCTGGCCTGAGCTCAGTTTTTTTGCAGAATCGAGCACGCAGAGAATAATAATCCAGGAGGTTCCAGGAGTCTTTTGTTTTTGTTAAAACGGTCAGCAGGAAGACCGCGAACTGTGATTAAAAGGAAAGGGGTGTGAATGGGAAACTTATCCCTCCTGGTAATATTTAATTAGATAAAATATAATATATTTATATTAAGTATAAATATATTTATAGATACATTCATATAAATATATACATTATATATAATTATATATTATACTATAATAATATTATAGTATTATCCTGTTCAGAGGGATAATGCTATAACAATGTAATATAATAATATACAATATATATAATATAATATAATATTTCATATAAATATAACATATAATTATATATTATAATATAATAATATTATAGTATTATCCTATTCAGAGGGATAATACTATAATAATCTCAGAGACCTTGGGATATTACCCCGACGTGAAAGGCACTATATAAATGCAATTTGTTGTTGTTATTGTTGTTGTAATGATCCTTGCATTTGATATAGCACCATATCACTTAATCCCTTCAAAATAATAATAACAATAATTTGATCAAGACTGTTTGTGGGTCACTGACTGCTGTGCGCAATGGGCTTCCGCGTTTTGCCCACAAGATAGTCATTTCACGTTCCAGTATATTCTGTGAAGTTCTGTCAGACAGGGGACAACAGGACGAAAACAGGAGGAAAACACAACACCCGTCTATGAAGTTATATTTCAAATACCTCGTGGCCATTTGGACAGTCATTCCTCCTTATCTGGGTCACGACGCGTACACTTAATTGATTCTCCACAGGAAGGAAATGTCCAGATCACAGCATCTTTTGATGTCCAAATGAACTGAACTCAATTGGAACATATCCCAAAACAGTCAACGGATAGAAAGTCATCGGGACGAAAGCGTATATGCCTTTGAATGTACTTAACTGAAAGAAAATGCAAGTGATTGTTGTTGTTTTCCTGAATTTATCGGGCTTCTTTTGCCTTCCAATAGGGGATGGCTCAGCCATGCCGACAGCCCTACAGTTGACTTCCAGTTCCTTGCCCCTGTGATTGCAATTTGTGAGTGAGCGTTGCCAATGAGCCATGGCAGGATTCTTAACTGTAGGGGCTTATATATCATCTGCCCTCACTCAATGTCTATATGTGTGCGTTCAGGCGGGAAGTCACTGGACAGTCAGAAACGTAGGAATGAGAACCTTGCTTGACTTAGTTGGTAGTAAACTCTCGTCTCCAATTCAGGGGGTTGTAGGTTCAAAAGGACTCAGATTTCGTGTTGTAGAGGGCAATTTCTGGAGACACACAAGAGCTTCATCGCTGCAAGGCGTGCAGTGCCCACATCTGGCAACCTATACTATTTTAATAGCCGGAGCATGTTATTTTAATTCCGGATCATTAATTATTTAGTGTTATCAGGGTCTTCAAACAGCGTGTGGATTTCTGTACCCAAAGGGTTTTGTTGTGTTCTTTTGGCTTAGTCAGCAGCAATCTGGGGTCTGCAACAGAAGGTTGGGGGTTCAATCCCTGATTCTGACTTGAACTCATAGTCTAGGCTGGTGCTACAGTACAGTATCGAGGGGAGATATTTCAGATGAGACCACCCCCCAACACCTCGAGGTGCTGTCTGCCTGGATCTTAAAGATCTTGTGACAGTATTTGAACAGAGAGGGGATTAATTGGTCATTCACCTCATGGCTATTTGTGGGGCCTTATTTCACAAGTAATCACTGTAAAGAGTCGTGACTTGTTTGACACCAAAAAAAAAGTTGAGGAACTTGACGTTAATTACTTATGAAGTGCTTTGAGGCGTTTCAATCTGATAAGGTGTGTGAAAATGCTCGTTCATTCTTTAATCACAATGTTGTGTGGACAGCAGGAATTTAAATAAGGCAGAAAATATTCATTCTTTCTATTAAAAAAAACACGATGAGCAGAAATTTCTCGTTCTGCTTTAAATCTGAATTTCCCCAAATCTTAATTATAATCCTTGCATTTGATACAGCGCCTTATCACGTCTTCGAGATGTCTCAAAGCGCTTCACAGAATGCACTGTGAAGTGAATTGACTATATATTTTGTGGGCAAATGCAGCAGCCAATTGTGCACAGCAGCGTCCCCACAAACATTTGCGGATTGAAGTGACCAAATTATTATTATTATTATTATTTTTTGAAGGAATTATTACTCCGGATAAAGAGACACTTGACAGTCCTGGCTTGGCACCTGGTGGGGGGGGTGGGAGCCTAGGGGTGTGGGGGGGATGATGGAGGGGGAGATGACCGAAAGCGCGGTCAAAGTGGTAGGTTTTGAAGTGGACCTTGAATGAGGGAAGAGAAGGGGCGAGTCGGAGGGATTCTGGGATCGTGTGCTTGAGAGTACGGGAAGATAGGCTGAAAGCGTGAGCACCGATAGAACAATGCCAGTGGAGTAAAACTGTCTTAATAAAACATTAAAAGCAATCTGGTTTTGTTCTTGTTGCAGGTGGGGAGGTCCCCTACACAACTTTAGCCACTCGAATGATGATGGGAGTTTGGTGGCTCTTTGCTCTCATAGTTATATCTTCCTACACAGCAAACCTGGCTGCCTTCCTTACCATCAACCGCATTGAAACCTCCATACAGTAAGTATATATATATATATACACACATTGCATACAAGGTAATCACAACGACTTCCTTCTAAACTTCAAGCTGCTTTTCTTGCTGCAGTTAGATTGATGATTTATAGTTCATGGGGAAAAAAAGATGTAATTGAACAAAACTAAATCTTGTTTCATGATTTGTCCTGGCAACACAACTAAGGTGAATGCAAATGAACATGAAACTCTCCTTTCAATCTACACCCATTCTAAAGTCGTTCTTGTTACACGGTAATTATTGGATACCTGCTTTGGTCCTGTTAAATGATGAACACCTGATTTGTTAAATTTACACATTTTGTCATGGTCACAGTCCAATTACATACAATACCTTCTATTTAACATGGCTTAACAAACTGCAGCAAGCTCAAAGTAATTGCAGTCTTAGACTTAGCTCAAAGTAATTGCAGTCTTACATGGTGTAGCAAAGCTTTCATGAGAGTAATGTAAACTACCATGGAAATGATCCACGCAAAAACTTACCCACATTTCACAGTGAATTCCTGAGTGGCAATTCTGAATAAAATGCAATGAACGGTTATTCACTGAGCAGAATTAATGAATCCTGTTATTTAGAATTCCAAAACACCAGCCCAGCTCCTATTGAACGCAGGTATAATTATTATTAATTCTAGATTTTCGACTGTAGCTGAAGCTTTAATGGTGAAAGGCCGGAGACCATACTGCAGAACACAATCTGTGATATTGTTCGTCAATGAGTGTAATAAATCTATTACGATACCTTACTATACAAATTTACATTTATATAGGGCCTTTCATGCAGAAAGAATGTCCCAAAGCACTAACCCACACTGGCTGGGCACTCATTACAATTGTTGTTTTGCCTTTTTAAAAGCTAGTTTATTTTATTGGTTAACCTTTCCACGCAAAGCAACTTTTTCCTATCTTCATGCCCCTGAAATCACACCTTTGCTCTGACAGACTATGAGCAAATAGCCTACTCCTCGACCTTTGAAGTTAGTCATGAATTGCTGCCCAGTAACATTGCCACAGTCCATGTTCGCACAGCAATATCACCCAAATCGCAATATCCAGGGACTTGTGAGGAGAATCCCCACTTCTCTTTTGAAGTAGTGCCATGGGATCTTCATCGTTCCACCTGAAGGCACAGACACCCCGGGCCTTAGTTTAGTGCCCCGTCCAAAGGACGCAAGCTCTCAAACATGCAAAGACATCTGATTAAAATGTCAGGAGAGGAGGCGAGCGGGTATACCATTAGGTCCAATTGTTCTTCTGCTCCAATTATTCAGGGTCCGTGGAATGGAGAATTGGATGTTGGCTGCCTCATCCAAACACACACATACCCACACGCACACGCACACACACGCTCACTCACCGGTGACAGCTGGTGCTGATCGCATGCACACTGTACAGTGTTTTTGCTCTGTATTTTGTCAACCAGATGAAACCTGGCAGATGGCTCTGCCACACCATGCCGCTCAATAGACTAATTTCTTGAGTTCTGCTGCTTCAGTGGGTGCTACTGTTCAGCTCGGCAGGATCACCAACCTCTATTGTCTGTGATTATCTGGTCTGCACGTTCTTCGATCACTGCTTCCAACGGCTCTGGATGTTCAGTAAGGATATGGTTTGACTTGTTGCACTACTCTTGCTGGCCTATTAGGGAGTAATTTCCTTTCAGCGTCCTGTGTGGTGCGCTGTGCGTGAAATCGCTGAGGCCGATTTAAATCCGCTTTTGGGGATGCTGTTTTTGCAGTAATACCCTTAGTGAAAAAAATATTGTTAGTTTCACGTATCTGGCCGGTCTGATGTTGCACATCTCAAACCTTCAGTATGGTTCCTTATGATTTGTCTGCATTGGAGACTAAAATGGAACAATGCCAATCCTGGACTTGCTGCATTAATTGTGGTTTCCAGTTTGCATCTTCTTTCCTGACATGAAAAGCACTCTTGTCAAATTCGAGGATTATTATTTATTATTCTTATAGGGCATCTGCGCTTAACGTGCAGTAAGTATCAGCAGGGATCTGTTGGCCCAGAGGCTGTCCATTTGCGGGCATGGGAAACCAGGGCGACAGTGCCGGGAAACTGGGTCTCCTACACTCCCACAGGAGACCTACACTGTCAGCAGAACCACATTGAACAGGACTATCATCGGGATCTAGAATTAACATATATCACATCATCACATAATAGATTTCACTCCCATCCTCCTACCCCCCCCGCCCCCACCTCACCCCATTGATCTCTGAGTTTCTCTCTAGAAGTTCTCATTCTCCTGCATTTTTTTTTACAATTGAATTCACAACACTGTCCTTTTTTTCAAGCCCCCAATCGAAACCAATATGAAGTGGGCAATGTAAACCAAGCATTTTGCTCCTCAAACACTTTCCTGCCAGACGTGAAGCGGCACAGACAAACGATTTGCTCTTACAAGCAGTTTGATTCTCGTTAAATGTATAGAAGGAAATACCTATGAAGCGAACGCTTACAGCTTCTTCCTGAATCTGATGTCTCAAAGTGTCTTATAGATCGTTAAGTACAGTGTTTGTGCATTGGGAGGCGAATGCAGCGTCCAAATTGCACCCAGCGATGTCTCACAGTAAATACTCGAAGACCAATGTACCTGGAGGATTGTTGGCCAGGACATGGATAGAAACTTCCTTCTCTTTCAAATAGTGTCATAGGTTATTTCGTGTCTACCAGAGCTAACGCTTGGGACCTCGGTTGAACATCCCAACTTAACTCTGACAATGTAGGGCTCCCCCATTACTGGTCTGGAACGTCACACTGATTCCTGCCTAAAGATTTGCACCAAGAAAAAGTAATACCTACTGTGCTCGGGTGTTGTTGTTGTTTACCATTCCCCACCCCTCCATTATCACCCCCCTCTCCCCCCACCCGCCGCCCCCCTTTCCTGAGGGTGTTGACTTATATTCTGGAGACGCCAGAAGAATCCTTGAAGAAGAGAAAGATCATTTAAATCCAAACTTTGTGGTGTGTTGAGCATTGTAAATGCATACATGATTTCATAATTATTCTGGTTCAGCGGTCACACTGTTAAGGTGCACATTTTATCTCTATCATGAATTTTTAAAATAGAATTACCAAGAAAAGTAGCAACCCTCTTATTAATTTAAATCCACGAGCATGGGATTATTATAGTCCACAGGCAAAGCCTCACCTGAAACTCGATGATAAATTATACATTTATTTTTTGAATAGGAGAGAACAGAAGAAAATAAGAGAGCAACTGTGACTGTTTGGAAGGGAATTTATGCTTCACTGAAGTGTATTTTGTTTTTAAATCGGATTACCTCTACTGAGAAGACAGAGAGAGGTTGATCTTCATTGGGCACAAACGCCTATTCGGTGTCATAAGAAAAGTCTACCGTGTGGGTCATTCCTGCGTGCAAATCGGCTGCCGTGTTTCACCCACAAAATGCACAGTCACTACGGCTTACGGCACACGCTGTGAAGGCTCTTTGAGCTGCCACGAAGACTTGATTAGGCGTGATGTCAAATGCAACGGGTTATCCTTAGTCGTATTATTTCATATCGGGATGACGTCTCAAAGCACTTCACAGGACTTCCTGTAAAATGTTATTTCTGTGTGTTTTTAGGTGCGCACCGACAAATAACTTAGGGAGTGGATATATTCTAAATTGGACAAACTTGAGGCAATTCAGATGTTGGTTAAATGGCTCGGTTTCACATCCGATTACAAAAGGGCGCATTATACTTGACAAACAATATTGCCATTGCAGAATCAGCGCGTGACTGGACTCAGTAGTCAGCAGTTGTAGAGGTACAGTGTTGAGTTAAGTAAACAAAAAAGGATTATTTTCAGCCGTCTATCCTCGTGAATCTGTATATTAACTCAAGAGGGCAAGAGAATATGATCACGGTTGGTGTTTAGCAATACCTCGTCCATTCGTGTGTTGACTGGCATTATCAAGTGAATTATTGTTTGGCTCCTCTGCTAGTTCCTTGGAATCGTCTCTTCACATCCTCCGCCGTCAACCGTCCTGCACTTTCACTGTTGTTTAGCTGTTTTGAGTAGCTTTGCTTTGATAGCAGAAGGTGCAGTCTTGTATTGTGTTACAGCAAAGCTCTTCAGAGGCTTGTTTTCATGTGGTCTCTGCTGACTGCCCTCCCTCTCTCCCTATGGGACAGAGGTTCTCTTTACGTCACACTTCATCTCAGTCGAATCTGTCTGAACCAAATCTATCTATTCTTCTCTCAGTTGAACCTGAATCAATCTGAATATCCTTTCCCGGGGAATCTAACTTTTCTGAATCAAAGTTCTGATCAATATACCGTTTGAAGCTTGTTGTATTTTGATACCCTCCCCTAACCCTGCCCCTTTTTGATTGACAGTTGTAAAGACGTGGTCTTTCTCCTCAGAATTTGATGGCCTCTTTGGCTGTTTGGACACTTCCAGATCAGGAAACCGGTTATTACAATTGTTAATCCACTCGATCTTTTTGATACCCTTCCTCTAAAGCACCTTCTGGCTCCGAGAGAGTCATCATTTAGTAATAAAATATTAATAGAGCAATAATTTGTTTTTGCTTATGCGTTGCTGGTGTGAGCTCCTTAATTTGGAACATACGCACGTAAGAAATTACTAGACGAGCAAAAGACCAAAGTCCATCGAGTTCACCTTCCACCTTCCTGGAGGTCGCATACGCATATGTCCCGAACTACCTATGTGCTATATCCCCTCATGTTATTTCCTAAAAGAAAACTATCTAATCCGTGTATGAAGGAATCGAATCCAAGGTGTTATCTCCCCTTGTTGGCCCCTTTACAAACTGAATCATAAAACAGCCCTCCTTTAACTCTAGAAACTGCTTTCCTGTTTTTTACCAGTAGACACATCATTATCCCAGTCAATTTCTGGTAAGTTAAAATCTCCCAACTACTGTGGTTGGTCCCTGACTGTTCGCCTTCCTTGTCTCATCCGACAGTTCTGGATTGAGGCTTTTACCCTGGCTTGGGGGGTGGGGGTGGGGGGGGGTCTATAGCCAAACCCCAGTAATAGCTTACCTCCGTTCCCACCTTTTTGCTTGGTGTTAGGTTGGCTTCTTGCTGTAACCCTGACTAGTCGTGTCCGGTTAGTGTCACAAACTGAACTCCCTGTAGCTCTCACAAGCTGTCGGCACATTCAGTTACTCATAGACCATTGCACATCCTTACCCACCTGTCCTTGCAATTGGGACCCTGACTAAATGTAACCCTTCTTGTACCAATTACTGACCCGCATCACTGATGATCAACTGGAGAGCTCTCTGCAGTCTGATAATGATTTCCGATATTCTGCACCAAGTAATGTATGATAGTACTTGGATTTGATAGAGTGCCTCATCACATGCCCATTTCCAAACCCATTTTAATGACATTTCTTAATTAAGAAAAGGAAAATGTTTAGGAATAGCGCACTTTGGGCCCCATTATTTCAGCTCACTTTGTTGGATTATAAAAGTGGCAAAAACCCAAGTCATATTTAACCGAGGTCTCTTGTTTGTCTGTCCATGTGGATGATAAAGATCCTGTGGCATTTTCCCGAGAAGAAAAATGTCTCCCGTGGATTCTTTACTCGGTTTGGGTGCAATTGTTTTTTTAAAAAATATGTAAAAGTTCTTATTTTTTTCCTGTCACTGCCTTTTTTTTGGAGATGGTTGAAATACAAGCACTCCTACTTGTGTACCTTGTGTACCTTGTAACAACAACAACAACAACAACTTGCATTTACATAGCTCCTTTTGTGTGCGCGATGGTGTCTCAAGAGTGCTTCTATCCCAGAAGTGATTGATAATGAAATACATATCGCTGGCTGACACGGGAGTAACTTTAGGAAACCTTTATATTTACTGGGGGTGTATTCCTGCTCTGCACCTATGAAACATAGATTATTGGAGTCTTTTGGATCGTTTCGAGGAAAATAGCCAGTGCGACAGACTGTAAATGATCAAAACCACAAAGGTAAACGCACTTTCTCCCTAATTGTGTAATATTTGATTCCCTTCCCATGAGCAGAATAGTTTGATGATGATTGGAGCAGTCAGCTCTGGAGTTTAAACATAAATAATGCACTCTCCTCATCTCATGTCATTACCATTTCCTCATACGGAGCCATTAATGTAGTCCTGTGACTGTAATTGCTCTATAAACTCACCACTGGATCTTTCGCTATTCGCATTATGGCTGGGCTTTCTGACTTGCTAAGTAGATTAGCTCATGCGTACGGAAGAGAAGAAAACAGTATAGGAGATAGGATTAATTGGGATGGAGACGAGTGTGGAGTATGAACACCAGCGTGGACTGGTTGGGCTGAATGGCCTGATTCTGTGCTGTACTGCTCTATGTAACCCAAATGGTGTCCTTGTGGTTTTTTTTCCCTAAAACTGCAAAATAAACTCTTGTACTTCATTCAGAAATTTAATTCAGAATGTCGCAACCGACCTGTCATGGACGCTTGTAGGAATGCAAGTGAAATCTGTTCGACTGAAGTATCATTGGCTTCGTTAAGGGGAATGTTCATGCTACTGATATTATCAATATTATCCAATAAAGCTTTTCAATATTATTCAATAAAAGCAGCTGAATGGAAGCTGACGAAGACAAAGTGTGTGGGACACCAGTTCTGCTGGAGCACTTTCGTTCAGACATTTATAAGGTACAATGACAATGCCACAATAATCAATAGAAGTACTTTACAACAAATCCACCACTGATTTGGAGATTTCGAAAGAAATGGTGTTGCGAACTCAGAAACGATTTGGCCAGCGAGACTTTCTTTTTCAAAACCCCCCAAGCAGCGAATCTCTCAGGAAATGGCTTTTGCGATCCCCGTGAAATTGCCGCCACATTGTAAAACACTTCACCAAGTCCAGCAGTTGTTCTTTCAGATTTGCTGTCAGAAAACCTAAAACTCTGGAGTCGCCAAAGCCTTGATATTTGCCGACCCCCCCCGCGCCCCCCCCGCCCACCCTAATATTCTCCGGAATTAGGTAAGCAGGTTACGTCCCTCCAGGGTAGAGAGCGTGCATTTCGTTCGCAACGCAGGGAAATTTCCGTGTGCGGGTGGCATACACATGTGGAATCTGTCCGGTTTCGATTTTCTTCAGCACAGTAAGGAGTTCAATACGGTGCCGGTTGGACACCGTTGTTAAACCCAAATGCTCATGTGTTAAATAAGACGAAAACTATAAATGTATTTTAGGAGGGAGCAAGTTTTGATGCTGATTAATTGGAAGCGAGGGTAAGTTCAAATGTTTGACTCTCCCTGGCTGATATATCTATTTATTTGATCTTTTCTTTGTTTTTGCCTTCAGCGGTAAGTGGCGATGAACTTGCTGATAAAGCACTTTTGGCGGTTACTGGTATTCGTTGCTGTCTATTTAATGGCTAATGGGAAGGCTCACGGGATGATGAAGGAAATTATTAATAGGATAATGAATTGGCTGGATGATAGAGAACAGAGGGTAGATACCGATGATAATGGTTTTGGTTGGAAGCTGTGGTCGGAAGACTTCCGCTGGGATTATTTTCATCCTTTTTATTAATAACATTACTTCAGCGTAATTCAAGTGGATGTCCAAATCCAAGGGACGTCACCAAGTCGCACGGCCAAACTTAATGTTACGAAGTGAGGGAAATATTGTAGGGCAATCTGGGAGACTCAGCGGTTAGGCAAGTGGGCAGCAAATTATATTGGATATTGAGCTAATATGCGTTAAAGTGGAAATGCCAAATATGAAGGCGCAAGGAGCGATAAATAGTTCAAAGGTGTATGTGCAGGAACGTACGGGGCCAAAGTAAAAATAAATCATATGCTAATCTGTTACTCTTGCTGAATTTATTTCTTTATCAACTTGGTACCCAATTCCTTCTTGAACTTTGTTGTGTAAGGTTTTGGGACGTCCTCCCGCCGGGAAGGGTAATTTTGTTGTTGTTGTAACTCCATACAGATCTGTCCGCTTCCTCCGCTCAGCCTGCTTCAGGTCTCCCTTCGGCTTTTCTACCCTCACCTTTGGAACTCCAACCCACAGTCCCTTCGCCTCGCTCAGTCGATATAATAATAATCATCCTTGCACTTCATACAGCGCCTCATCACATCTTCGAGACGTTGCAAAGTGCTTCACAGAACAGACTGTGAAGTGAATTGACTGTGTGTTTTGTGGGCGAAATGGCTCTTTGGAGAAGATATGGAGAGAATGCTTAACTAGCCTAACGTCCCGAACTCCAGCACCTAAACACATTCTAAGGTCTTCTCATCTTTAAATGCCTCCACGGTCTCGCCTCATCCTACCCCTGCAATCTCCATCAAACCAAACGCTCCCTTCGCTCAGCGGGCCACTGGCCTGCTTCATGTCCCCTGCCCTCCCTCAACTTGTTCAAGGCCCGTCTGAAGTCCTACCTCTTTGACCGCACTTTCGGTCGTCTTTCCCCTCCCCACCCCACTCAGCGCTCACCCCCAGCTCAGCGTCAAGCCCAGGATTGTTCAGCTCGTTGAGGTGCCTTCCTGCCATGAAAGGAGCTATACCTAAACATGAATTTGTATCCGATTGTCTGTGCCAGGAAGTGGGTGCGTTTCACTGCTCTTAAGCAAACACTGCCCAGAAAATAACTATCAAGCCAATAAAGGACCCACTCTCTCTAAGGACATAAAAACAGGAAAGCAGTCAATATATGCAAAAAACAGTGCAGATGAATGGTGAAACCAACACTAGGAGGTGCTGCCACCCAGTGATCATGTAATACAATAAAATACACGATTACATTTGTGTAGTGCTTTTCATGTCGGGAGGAACGTCCCAAGGTGTTGCGCAGTCAGGGATTTGGACAGCTCCACCATACGCAAAATTCAACTGATCCCAAAACTCTGCCACCCGGATACTCACCCGTATAAAACTCCGTGCCGCCCCATCACACCGGTCCTTGCCAGGCTCCGCTGGCTCCCAATTACCAAACGGATCGATTTCAAGATCCTCTCGCTCATCTTCAAATCCCTTCATGCCTTCTAACCTCCCAACCTCTCCAACCCGCTTAAGCCCTCCGATCTGCTGAATTTCAAAAGGTTTTTTTTTCAGAAAGGATAATGATAGTCATGAAAAATAATAATAATAATAATAATATTAATCATTGCATTTGATCTAATGCTTTATCCTGTTGTCAAAACATCACAAAGTACAGGATTGAGAACGAGGTATTCTTTGCATTTTGTATATGAACACGGCAGCCAATTTAGGCCGAGCAGTGTCCCACCAATTTTATCTAAAGGAAACTCCCTTGTCTTTTTGAATAGTGCCATGGGATCTTTATCGTCCACCTGAACAGGCAGGTGGGACGTTGGTTTAACTTCTGATTTGAAGCACATGGTCTCCAACAACGCAGTCCTGGCACAGCATTACACTGCAGCGGTCAAGTTGGAAAACGAGTCTCAAAGTCCTGACGTGGGGCTTGAACCTACAAGCTTCTGACTTGAAGTCGAACGTGCTAGCACTGGAGCCAGGTTCACACCTAATGTCTGCTTTGTGTTTTTTGAAACTTACATTATTTACTCATTACGTCTCTCTCCTTGACCCCCAGATCCCTGCAGGATCTTTCCAAGCAAACGGATATACCCTACGGCACAGTGATGGAGTCGGCTGTTTACGAGCACATCCGAGTGAAAGGGATGAACCCCTTCGAGAGAGATAATATGTACTCCCAAATGTGGCGAATGATCAACCGAGGTAACGGGACAGAAAACTCTGTGAAGGATTCCCAGGAAGGCATTCGAAGGGTACAGTGTATTTCAATCAAATCTCCTAACCTTCTCTGAACTGTTTTTCTACTGTTATCAGATTGCATCAGTTGCCGCTGAGGTATTAAGTTATCAAATTGCAAATAATAACCGTGACAATCTTTGCGTTTGATGTAGCGCCTTTGACGTCAGGAGGAAATCACAAAGCGCTTCTCAGGATTTGCTGTAAAGTGCAGTGACTGTGAATTTTGTAAGCGAACACAGCAGGCAAATCGCAAACAGTATTGTCCCACAAACAAACGTGAAGTCAATGATCAATTATATCTGGGAGATCGTTGGCCAGGACACCAGGAGGAACTCACTTCTCGTTTGGACTAGTGCCACCCGAACAGGCAGATACGGCCTCAGTTTCACATCTCACGCGAAAAATAATTTGCTTTAAAGAAACATTTTGATTTATTTTTTCAAAAATCCTTTTTCGTGCTTAGTTTGTGAGACAGTGTCTTGTGGCATCATTAGTATTATTGTCACGTCGACCATAATTGTCTTTAAAAGCCTATTAGACAATATTTAGCACTGGACAGCGTGTTTACATGCCTGCGCTGATGTCAAGAGTGGTCTAAAGCATTGCACGTACTATGTTTCCCGATTGCTTTGCGCACAGCACGCATATCGAGGGTGAGGAGTCACCTACTTGACACCAGGAGCTGCAACACCTATGGCACTACGTGCATTTTCCTGTTTCGTTTTTGCGGTCGGCATCAGGAACGATTAGCTGGTACAGTCTCACTTGTCAATTATGGTGAAGCTGCTAATTCGCCCTGTGTCAGAAATGCTCTACTGCTGCCTTCCTGAAAGATCGATCTATACGCTCTGACAACTGGGCGGCTGAGGTCAGGAAAAAGGAGCTCCTTAGCAACGTACTCCAGTCACATTGTTAGAATCGCTTGACAATGTACGTTCATCAGAAAAAAAGGTTCACCTGAAAATATTTGGCTTAAACCAAGTTGACCTTTATTCTCCTGAGATATATGGACCTGGACGGTTTGGGGGATTAGGTCCAGATTTCTTCCAAGGTTGAACCTGTGTCATTTGATCTTAGTTAGGGCAGCAATGATGTGGTGGGCACAACGAAGGGAGTTCGCAGTTGCCTGAAGTGTTTTGGTCTGGAGACAGAGAACAAATTGACCAGGGTTCATACTCCTGATTTAGACTCATTGGAACTGACGTACGTGGGCGGTCAGGCGAGGACAGGAACAGGCTAAGCTCTGTGAATTGCCGCAAAACTAATGTGTAGACACTCTGCTTGAGCTCATAGTCCAGTCTGATACTTCAGTGTAGTCCTGGGGAATGGCTGCACTGTCAGAGTGGCCATCCTTCAGGTTAAAGCAAAGAATCATCTGCGCATTCTTCAGATGGACACTAAACATTTCATGACTTTTCAAAAACAGAAGGAGTTTGTTTCTTCCAGTGTCCTGGCCAACAGGGCTTGCTGGATATTGGTCAAATGTCCTGGCCAACAGGGCTTGCTGTATATTGGTCAAATGTCCTGGCCAACAGGGCTTGCTGTATATTGGTCAAATGTCCTGGCCAACTATCCCCCCCAAGTGAAATTGGTCTCTCAAGCTGTGGGACGTTGTCGCACGCAATCGGCTGCTGCGTTTCACCCCCAAAATACATAGTCAAACCATCTTTACAGCATATCCTATTCATAGAATATGACAGCACAGAATGAGGCCTTTTTGGCCCGTCGTGCCTGTGCCAGCAAATTAAGTTTCGCAACGCTTTGAGACATCTCAATGACGTGATAAGGTGGCATATCAAATGCAAGTCTTTTAATATTATTATTATTATTATTATTTAGTTCATGGCTATTTGTGGGACCCCGTTGCGTGCAAAATGGCTGTAGCCTATTTATACTAACCTTTATCGAAGCTTTTTATAATTTCAAACACCTCTGTTAGGGTCGTCTCTGAAACATTTTTTCTTCTCTCGGACTAAAGGCTCCAGCAACGCAGCACACCTCTTTCACTGTAATGGAGTGTCAACTTAGACTAGATTAATCACAAGTCCTGACATGGGGTTCTGAGTAGTTCAACAGCATATGTTCTCAAGCTGTTTCATCAGGCTCCGACACAGTCCATCACACCTTTTCCAGATCCATTTACACTTAGGTTTCATCCACCCTCTCAGTGTGTTTTGAGATGTCGGCAATCCCCTCAATTCAGTACAAATGCTGTAAATCTTCGCACAGGCAAATCGTGGCTCAAGGGCCATTTAAAGTTGTGCCTTGATTCTCACGGGATCTCCTGCTCTCTGTGCCTCTGGGCTTCCGGTAAGTTACTGTCTGGCTGTAGGATGGTGACTGAACCGGGATTCGATGTTCCCTGCGATTTCCCTGTCTCCTAGCTCCAAGAAAGAGAGGCATGGCATATAATCCAGTTCCCAGCTGCCCCAGTACCCGTGGTAATATTATATGCGACGAGAAAATACCTCGTCTCTACTCAGCAACCGTTCACATTAAAATGACACCAGAGCTCAACAGCTCGCATTTGTGCGTGTATATGGGGAGGAGGGAGCTCGTGGGCACTGACCTGTGTCTTATTGATGATATATAAATCATACATAAGCAACAGGACTTTAAATACGATTTTAAAATACGCCCTCGAGCAAGGGCTTCCCGACCTGGCATTCAGCCACCACACCGAGACTGAAGGCTAACGCATCGAGGACGAGAACAATGTCGAGAAAGCCATAGCAGGTCGAGCGGTCAGTTGACGTGAGGTTAGGATGGTAGGGTCCCCAATATGTGTCACTATCTAACAGGATTGCTTCATGAGAAAAATTCAACAGGGACCTCTTCCGATAGCCGGTAGGTGGTAAGTCATGTAGGAATGCAGCTCCCAAAGTGGATTGCATTGGAGTGGATTACCCACAAATCGCCTCGATATATTTCCCTTTTCTTATAGCACAGACTCCTTTAGTGGATTCAAAGCATGTAGCGTGTGTTCACCTGTGGCAACAATAAAACAGTAACCATATATATATATATCAACTGACGTTAACAGTGAAGCCATGCAATACTGTTAAGCCTGTGTGGTATATTGGAGGAAGACAAATGGTGGTTTAGTAGTTCGGGGGCTTTGAAGGCAGGGGTATAACCAGCAGTAAAAAGGTGACTACTTCTAGAGTATGGTGCATTGTTCGGTTTGGCCACAATATTTTTTGCACTGTGACTATGCATTTAGAGATTCCTTTCTCCACATCGATAGTGTAGACCTAAGAACTTTCTCGCATTCTTGATTTTGTGCAGTGTTGAGGCTTCAGTTGTCACTTGTCCTTTGCTACAAAGCTCAAAGGATTTCGGTTTTCAATCCAACACCGCGGAGCTTATTCAGTGTCATTATGTACATTGTACGACTGCCTTTTAGTACATCATCGCATAACAAACAAGACTGACAATATATTATTTACTGCACAGCTGACTCAGGCTGGCTTGGAGCTCTGTTATTTTTGTGTGCATATTTTATGTATTTGTTTTTGACACATGTTTGAAGCGAGTAAGTCAGGGATGCTCAATTTGCAAATACCAAGGCTGCCAACTTTAATAAAATACATTCCGTTTCTAAGGCGACAACAGGGGCGTTGGGGATTCAGAGCTTCCAAGTATTTGCATAGCCCCACGTTCGCACTTTCACCTGAAACACAAAGAACCTCTCCATCCCCTCCGGCCGTTCATAACAAGTGATGGATTTATCGTTTATTCTTCCAACCTTGAGGATTAACGTATGGAAAATTTGCAGAATGCCAAAGCGTGTCCTCTTAGGATTGGGCAGCCAACCATGATTGGGCATGCATGTTGTTGGAACAGATTAAATAATAATCCTTGCATTTCATACAGCGTCTAATCATGTCCTGGGGACATCTCAAGTCAATTCACAGGATTTTAGTAACTGTGTATTTGGAAAGTGCAAAATGTAGAGTCTGGTATTTGTTTGCTAACTCAACAGATCATTTCTCACTTTACGGTGTATTCTGTGAAGCGGTTTGAGACGTCTCGAAGACGTGATAAGGCGCTATGTCAAATGCAAGGATTATTACTATTCATGTGAGAAATGTCAGGCCTCAGCTGTGATAATAATAATAATAATAATCCTTGCATTTGATATAGCGCTTTTCATGTCTTCTCGACGTCTCAAAGCGCTTCACAGAATAGACTGTAAAGTGAACTGACTGTATATTTGTGGGCGAAAGGCGGCAGCCAATTGCGCACAGCAGCGTCCCCACAAACAGTGGTGGATTGAAAATGACCAATTTATTATTGTTTTTGGTTTTGTAGGGATGGTTTTGGAGGGATTATTATTATGCTCTGTGTGGAGTAAGGAAACTTGCCCGAGGTTTCGCTCGGCCTGGAATTGAACTCAGGTGCTCTAACCACTGAGCTACGGGATGAGAGGTTAGAGTAATAATAATAATAATAATCCTTGCATTTGATATAGCGCTTTTCACGTCAGGAGGACGTCCCAAAGCGCTTCACAGAACACATTGTAAAGTGAATTGACTGTATATTTGTGAGCGAACGCGGCAGCCAATTGCGCACAGCAATGTCCCACAAACAGTCGTAGATTGAAAATGACCAATTTATTATTGTTTTGTTTTGGAGGGATTATTATTAGGCTCTGTGTGGAGTAAGGAAACTTGCCCAAGGTTTCGCCCTCTGCCGGGAATCGAACTCAGGTCTCTCACTTGCAAAGCGAGTGCTCTAACCACTGAGCTACAGGAGTATTCTTATTTCCTTAAACCTCTTTGTTCTTATTCATATTTGTGAAGTCTGGCCAGATTCAGTGAAGCTTCACGAGCCTCATGAGTGACCAACGCTCTGTGAGCTCTCTGACCATCCTTAGGCTCTCAACGGCAAAGGAAAGCATTGGTCTATTGTATCGACTCAGGCAATGTTTTTGACAGCTGCACAGGTTTACCAAAAAAAAAGTCAATGCCGGAAGCAAATAACTTGCTTTTTTTTTTACAGCCTTATACAT